ATTGGCCAGCTGGGCCAGCTGTCCCCGCTGTGCTCCTTCCCAGCCTCTTATGCACTTGGCAGAGCATGGGAAGCTGAGAAGTCCTTGACTGGCAGGATACTTAGGAACAACTGAAAACATCAGTGTGTTATCAACACTCTTCTCATACTAAATCCGAAACACAGCACTAGGAAGAAATTTAACTCTATCCCAGCCGAAACCAGGACAATACCTTAGGAGATGAAATTCATATGGACACCACCTTCTCACTGTGTTTTTACATGGTTCTGAATTACCTCTTTCATTTCCTGACCTCCAAGTGGCTCTTGCATAGCTCAGTGGGAACAGAAGGTGATTGTTTGTCAATGTATTTTGATAAAAACTGAAAGGAAAATCTTGAGCTCAGTTTATGGATTGGGCCCAGGAGACAAGAGGTGGAAGTGAGAACAGCCAGTCGTATGGGAGGGATCTCTGCTGGAGCCTGTGCAGCTCAGTATATTAATAAATGATCTGTAAAGACAGGGGAAAAGCGAGGTTACAAGCTCATAGCTGTTTGTGGTCATAAAGATGAAGGCCACCTATGGAAAACTGCAGAAGGCATTTGAAGAAATGCGAGTGAACAAGATGTGGTCAGTGAATTTAAGTGTACACTGGGGAGAGAAAATTCAAAAAGGTATAGGCAGTGATAGGGACTGACCTGACCATTACTTGGGGTCAAAGTTCTTGGAGTTATAATGATCTTGAAATATCAGCCCGGTCCTTATCAGTGAAAAAAGCAACTGCAACATTAGGATTTACTAGGAGAAATATACAGAGCAAAAGTGAGGCTGTGATTATGTCATGGATAAAATTCCTGGTATGTTTGAACGTGTGCAGTCCTGGGACACTCACCTTGAAAAGGTTATGGTAGAACTAGGATATGGAAAGGCAGTAGGGAAGGTCAGAGGTATAGGAGGGTTTTCATTGGAAGAATGGTTAGACTAGGATTTCTCAGCCTGAAAAAAATATGGTGAAGTGTTACGAAAAGTATGTGAAATCATGAGTGGATGGGAATCAGTGAATGGGGAATGTTTGTTTACTCTTTCCTAATACAAGAACTCAGAGAACAGCAAATGATACAAGCAGGGCCATGCTAAAAGCAATGAAAAGGAGATGTGCACTGTGTGAAGAAGTATTTAAGCTGTGTGTCTTTTGCTCCAGGATGTCACTGATGCTAAAATCTTGGTCAGATTCAGAAGGGGCTTGTATAATGTCTTCCATTGCAAATAAGGAACTCACTTAATGATCGCCTCGGTATGCAGAGACTTGTAATGTTCTCAGCTCCCTCCATTCTAGGGGAACAGTGCCTTGCTTTCGCAACGTTTGCTGATTATGGGAGGTCAGTGTATCTTTAACTAGAAAGGAGTTAAGGACCATGAAATGTCAGGTTATATTAATCCAGATGCAAACCACAGTATTCGATGGTGTTGAAATATGAGATGATTAGTTCGTGAAGAAGGAGGCTGAAAGACGCAGCCCCTTTGCTCTAGTGGCCGAGAATTGGTGTGAATTACTGCAGAGAAAAGCCTTTGACATCAATTCTACAGCACTGGTATATTTTTAATTAAATAATCTGTTCAGCCTCGAATATGAGAAAAGCAAATGGTGCTTTAATTTTAGTGAGAGAAATAATTTGGTTGCTTAGTTGTTTGTGTCTCTTGGGAGCACTCTTTCTAATGGAAAAATGGTTCTTTCTGCTAATTTTTCTTGTATAGTCATCATACTTGAAAAGTTATTGTTTCCTATAGCAAAAAACCACAAACATCAAGAGTTTCTCATTTTCTTATGTTCTGTCTCAAAAAAAAAAAATCAGCACCTCTGGAGGTATTTTCATCCCTTCAGAAGCAAAACATTTTCCTTAAATAATTAATTTTGCTTATAGTTGATGTTTTTTCAATGCTTGAATTTTGGGTGAGTTTGGGAACCATTAATGTTTTGATATATTCCCTGTTGTGCCAAAATGTCACAGTGGGAGAAGAGAAAATGGCAATGCATAAATGTAAAAGAGCAGTCCCCTCCTTTAGGTTGGTATGTGATTGACATCTTAATAATATATGTACGTATCTTCCAAATGTGAAGCGGCCACGCTTTGTTTTTCTTTTCGAACACTTTGACATAGTATTTTTGGATAATCTTATTATTTATTCTGAAGATGTCTTCAGCCAAATAATGCACTAAGGTATTTTATTCTCTCCTACGAGTACTGCAAAATTTAAAATATACATCATAGGCCTGACCTAGTTTTCAGAAGCACCTACAAGAAGCAAGAGCACAAATTGAAAATCAAGGGGCATTATTCTTCTGAATCATTTAAACTCTTCTAATAACCTCTCAAAGTGTGTGTGTGTTAAAAATTAAAACGTATGACTCATTAAAGGCTAGGAAAGAAAGAAACCCCCCTGTTTTTAAGTGTACTAACAACTTCAGGAATATATTAATAGTGTTTCAAGTACCTTCACTTCCCTCTGCAAAGAAGAAGAGTGATCAACCTGTACTAAAGATCCACTAGTTTGATGTATTTGGCATCCTGTATTTCTGCTTGGTGGGTGTTTTTTTGTGAGAAGGGACTCTATCATTTCAGTCATTCTCTGGTTATAGTTATTTGTTTGGCAGTGTTATTGGCCAGTCTGGGTTCCTGAGATTGTTGTTTAGAGGCTGCATTTGCTACTCTACAAGACAAGCATAATGTGATTATTTTTATTATTATTTTCTCCTTCCCATGCTCAAGTGCACTACTCCTTGTTCTTGTAGATCATCCTAGTCAGAAGAGAATGTCTCTGAGACATGTCTTTGAGGGTCAAAGTTATTTGACTTTTCCATCACCTTGGTCTTAGGGCAAAGGTGATAGAGGTTGCTATATCTTCCAAGAAACTCCTTGAAATCCCAAATTTTTACCTCCTGAGCTATCAGATCATGTAGGACCATTATACTCTCAGGTAGAAGAAGGTGGTATTGTAAGACTTGGGAAAATTATACTTGTTTTGGAATCTATAGAAATTTGTTGTGGTACAATTGGGAAATTCAGAAATTGTCAAAAGCCTTTCAAGGCTGCGCTTTGGTGGAAAAGATTGAAGATCTTTTCCCTCATCTCTGTGTTACTCAAAAGTAGGTTTCTGCCTTACCACTTAACAGTTAGATGAATTGCTTTTCACAGGTCAACTTCTGCCCCCTCTTGTGACTAATCCTTTTTCTGATATCTAACTCCACTCGGGATCCTCAGCAGACTGCACCCATAGGATTAGTATGTAATAGCCAGTGTTTGTATGCCGTTGAGTGCAAAAGTTGTTTCAAATCCATTTAATTCCTGATTGCTGCCCAAGGCAATCAATATACTTGCAGATCTACACATAATCCTAGCAAATGGAGCCGTTCCATATTGCGGAGCTGCAGCCATACTCAGTAATACATCTACAGCTGTCTTTAAAGTCTACAGACATTGAATAAAGTCTCCAGCTTTAAAGGCTACTCTCAAGTTGTTTTCAAGAATTAAAAACCTCTTTGGCTCCCGTGTGAGCAGCTTTGGGCCACCTCCTAATGGTACCTCTAGTTGCGATTGAGAAACGATTTACAAGAGAAGATTGCAGTAGTGCTGTCTCTACTGTGTATTTGCTTCCAGTCATTAGCTTTTAAATGTTGCTGGACAGTTTGGGATTGGCAGAAGGGAAGAAGGTGATGCTTTTCGTTTAGAAAGGAGTGCAATATAAGCTGAGCTAACTGCAGTTTATTTATTCCAAGCAATACCGATAGTGCTACCTTGGGAAGATTCATGGCTTTGGTTGAACTGAAGCAAATAAAGACAAAGCAGAAAGAAATCTAATATTTACCAGTCCCCTTAAAGATTTTCTTGTACGGAAAGGAAAGTGCATGCTTTGAATAGAAAAGTAAAACCTCTTGAAATAGAGGGGTGTGAATAATTATTATTTTTGGCTTAGTTGCCAAAGATGGTATGGGTAGATTCAGAGTTGGGTTAAACCAAAGTTTAATTTGTCTTTCTGAAAAAAGTCACACAATAAAGGAGGCTTCATCCTCTTCCCATCCAGCACCCAGAAAGCATAATGAAGAATTTTTTCTACAGCCTCTAAACGGAAAGAGTAGTTCCCTACTCTAAAGGGAACCTACATAACTCCAATAACTTTTAGAAATTTAGACTTAGGTGAAATCAGTCCCATACTGGGCACCGGTCTGAGCCTCACTGTCCCTTGGTTTATGTAGTCAAGGTAACACAGCAGCAACAAGGATGGTGCAGAGCTTCCATCCTTTCTTAGCTGGGGTGGCTTCTCTGAAATGTGGGGTCATGGCCATTCTCTTCACTTCAGCTTTTCACCCAGTGGAGTGGAACAACTGTTACTTAATGACTTCGTGGGGCTGGCATATGGATCTGGCTCTGTGAAGATGATGATTGCTCCAGTGGTATCCAGCATATGTCCAACAAATGTCCTGTTAAGAAGCATTTTTCTTATTAATGCAGACTAACTACAGGGTTGGATCCATGGATGGAAGTTGCAGTACTACTGTACTTCAGTGTCTTTTATTGCCTTTATTAGGCCAGCAACAAAGTGGAAGTGGATATGGAGAAGGCAGAGAGCTTGCGTGTGACAAGAGGAGACTTCTTTGCATCTTTGGAGAATGATATCAAACCAGTAAGTAGGCGCTGTATAACTCCTGTAATAGTCACCCAGTACAGTTAATAACATGAGGTAGCAACTTCCTTCTGGGATGAGACATGCAATGGTGCGCCGTGGGCTGACATACCGTGTCCTGTGTTGTAGGAATGAAAGTAGGGAGCCTCTTTCTGCCTGCAGTGCTAAGGCTCTGTTTTGTACCTTTTGTTGCATGCAAGAATCATAAAAAGGAATAGAACAAATAAAGAGAACAACTTGGAATTTCCTCTCCTTGTCATATGTACACTCTCCCTTTTAGGCTACTTCAGTTAATAGATGACAGCTTTAATAAGGACTGTAGTAGGAGGTTTAAGCCTCATTTTTGAGAATTGTCTTTAAATGGCATGGATTCAGAACCCATTGGCAACTTGCACTGATTAGAATTTGTTTTCAGTGTATACGAAAATGTGCATGGTCTCCAATAGTGTTCAGTCCTTTGAACTGAAATGTTGTGTCTCACCAGTAGGTCTTCCAGTACTGTCTCACTTAAGCATCTTCCAGAGTCTTGGTCCTTTGGTGATGTTTAATAGTTTCATGTTTTTTCTGATGTGATGCAAAATTTCTTGGTAAAATTTTTTCCTCTCTTAATACAGGCGTTTGGAACCAACCAGGAAGACTATGCAAGCTACATCATGAATGGTATTATTAAGTGGGGTGATCCAGTAACAAGGGTATTGGATGATGGGGAGCTGCTTGTTCAACAAACTAAGAACAGTGACCGCACTCCTTTGGTTAGCGTTCTTCTAGAAGGTAAATCTAAGAAAAATCTCTATATAAAAAAACCCAAGCAACTTCTGTAAACTATTCCTATCAGTTGCCCAAATAGTCATATGTTATATCCTGCAACTGTACGTAAAAGAAACATATGGGAGGAAAAATAAAATTGGTCTCTTTCAGTTTACTTGGGTGAAATTGCTTTAGATATTAAAACTGGCTTCTCAGCCTGAGAGAAATCCTGTTCTTGGAACAACGGAGATGTGAATGTACCCAGTTAATAACCTAAACGTGGACGTTTTACAGTGCAAACATCTCTAGCTGAGTTAATTGTCTAAATTTTCTTTGAAGTCACTGGAGAGCTCATCAATGTGTAATTAGCTGAGTTCAAACAACAGTTCATCTGGCCACATTTAAGTGTCTGCGGTTAGGCAGAGGTGGATTGCCCTCTATCTAGACTGTTACTGACTATGAAGAGTCTAGGAAACTAGTTCCAATATCTACATTACAGATACTGGAGTAGAATTTGTTATTTAGCGCTGCCCTCTTTCTTTTCCTGAAGTCAAAAAATGTGGATTACCATTTGCTTAGTGGTCTGTAGCTTTGAAATTTACCTTGAATAGATCCCCTAAATAATTCTGTGTGCTTCTGGTCAACATATTGCTTGTATGCAATACCTTCTTGCACTCCAAATTTGTATTGGGTGTATAGATTAAGATGTGTCTTTGATCTCCGTTTGAATTATTCTGCTGTGAATTCAGGCAAGTAACAAACCTGGCATTTGTGCTGTTGACTTGTTTGCCACGGTACCTGCAAAAATCATATTTAGAAGGGGCATAAACGTAGTTCAAGAAGTTTCTCTAAAATACAAACACATGCTAATTTTGGTGCAGTGGCCAGTCCTACAAAATGTGTAATGTCCTCTTTTGTCTTTTGTGTTGGTTTCATGGCAGATCAGTCTGCATGTGCTCAAATAGGTGCATTAATTTCCTTCATCTGGAGGATTGGATTGCACTAGGAGTTAGTGTGTTCCTTCTGCAAGTGGAAGAAAAGGTCATTTCAAAATGCAGATACCTCTGCATGAGATTATAAATGTGCTTCAAATATCGTCCACGCTGAGGCTTACCAGAGCTGTTTTCTCCCTTGTTTTTTCATTATGTTTGTCCTGTTTCAGGTCCCCCCCACAGTGGGAAGACTGCTTTAGCAGCAAAAATAGCAGAAGAATCCAACTTTCCCTTTATCAAGATCTGTTCTCCTGATAAGATGATCGGATTTTCTGAAACGGCCAAGTGCCAAGCTATGAAGAAGGTACTTACGCGTCCTACTCTTTTGCTTGATTACAATCCAATTCCACGTTCTCTAGTGGATGGAAAAGTAAATTACCTTGTGATCGTGTTTTCTGCTCTCTGTAGGTCCTAAATTCCTGTGCGTATATTTATTTATAAAGTTGAATGAATGTTTTTGTGGCACTGACACTAAGTGACTCACGGAAAATTTCAAGGCTCTGTCCCAATTGGGTCTGATATGTAATCATGACTAACAGTGGAACAAAACACCTGATCTGTGATGAGCAAGTCTGGAGCTCTGTCTGCAAAGATGAAGGCAGGAAGGTCTTAGGGTTGCACTTGGAAAGAACAGATCCTGCCTGAATGAGACTAGGAACAGTTTTGAGGTGGTAATGTTTAGTTAAACAAAAGTTTTAACAACTTAGGGAGCAGGGGGAATGGAAGCAAGTTGGGAACAGAAACATCTTAATTTCAAGTAGCCAGGTGTAAGGAAGGAGATTTCATTCACTGAAGCAAGCCAGCACTTACTCTTCTAGCTGAATAATACTGAATGAAGCATGTAAGTGAAATGTTACTCTAAGATCAGTTTGTTGCAGGATTGCATAGCTTCTAAAAGAAGCAATGTGCTCATAGCTGGAAGCCCAGCTTGTAATTCAGATTCAAAAAGGAGCCTTTTGGACTTCACTTGAATCGGCGTATGCTGGAGATAGGCCTGCAGTACCACTGATGTCCGTAGTGCTACTTACTGTTTAAGTCCAAGGCTTTGCAGGACACTGGTTTGCTGCTCTATCAAGGGTGATGTGGAGGCTCGATCCGTACCTGAGTAGGTCTGTTCTCCCTGTAATATGCTGTTATGAAAAGTAACCAATATCCAGCCGGGGTAGAAAAGCTTCGTAATTGGATTACAATTGTGGGGGTATTGTGTGTGTATTGTTATATTATCAGTATTGCCCCAGCTCCAAAAAACAGAGGAATGGTGCTCTATTTTGTCCATTGCTTACAATTAAACACAGGGCAGCTGGCTTTTTTTGCAAAGTTTATGGGGTAAATGAACAAAACTGAGCTCTGAATTTGTTGAGATGGCAGTGTTTTATTAAATGCAGGTAGAGTCTAGTCTCTTGGTACTTATCTTTTTCATTCTCTGTTTATTCCTCTAAATACTGCTGTGTTTAGCTAAAAACACGTCAACAGGTCCTATCATGACTATTGTAGTTTTGCTGCTGAGATTTAATAATGAGTCATTTTGCTGTTTTATAGATCTTTGATGATGCATACAAGTCCCAACTCAGCTGTGTTGTTGTGGATGACATTGAGAGACTTCTAGGTGAGTTAGGACAATGAAAAAAGCTATGTTGTCTGCTGTGCAGAAATATTGAAATATTTGCAATATTGAAATATTGCAAACTGGAAATGATGTGGAACCATTTACTTCGGGAACCTTGAACTGTTTTTGATACAGTGTAGTGGCTTAAATGTGCATTTGCTTAGTGGGCATTAAAATGCATTTTTCATTTCAGATTATGTCCCAATTGGACCACGGTTCTCTAATCTGGTGTTGCAAGCCCTTCTTGTACTGCTAAAGAAGGCCCCCCCTCAGGTAAGAAAGTAATCGAGGGGTGAGATGCCCTATTCCTGTAATAATTTTGACAGTGGAGAGCTTTGTGTCTTGCTGATAGCTGCTGTGCTGCCAGTGGTATTAGTGCTATTGTCTCTGATTCAGTCAAGTTAATCCTAGCCTGCTGCTGTTCATTCAGTTAGACATTTCTAGGATAACCACAAAGGATTCAACTTTAATTATCTAATTACTCAAGGCTAAATCTTCTGCAGTTAGCCCTAGAAATACTGACTAAGGAAACAAGTTTAACCTTCACCATGTAAAACTTAAACATGCAAAACTGTCTGCTTTCTGATTAACTAAGGAACTGTTTAGTCCAAATCAGTCCCTGGCTCGACGACGTGCTCCCTCCTTATTTAAAAATCAATTTCTAAGTAATGTATGATTGTGCATGTCAGGGTTTTAATTTGTTCTTAATTTGAAATTATCAGGTGTTAATTACAATGAGTGAGGAAAGCTTAAGATCTTACATGTCATGCTGATCCTATTTGCACTTTCTGGCTTGATGAGATTTAAGAACATCACAAGCGATAATGTTTATGAAGCTTGCACTGAATTAGAGAAGCGGGCAGGGACTCTTCTTTTTTGTTTGCCATTTTTCCTGTCGTTCACTGGAATTCTGCTGTGTGTGTGAAAGCATCTGCATGCATAAATAACGTACTAACAGGAAAACCTTGAAAGTTGGTGTCAGGAAAAAGCGGAGAAGCACAGCCTGGATGAACTCAATTTCTTTGTCATTTTTAATATCCTGGAAACAGTAACATATGCGTGAGTATTGTTTTCATTAGAGAGTTTGGTGAAAAGACCTTTCAAGTATAGAACTTTGAACTAAATTGTAATGCCACAGGCCCTGAAGTTCCCCTTGTGACTGTCAGCCTGGGAGAACAAAGATTTTTCCCAGTGAGCTTTCTATGCTGTGTGAAGTCTCTAACATGAAACTTGGATTCTGTTATCACATACGTTGGAACAGAAAGGCTGCCTGTATGCAACAGCACAACCATTTTTGGTCATCATAATCTTGTGTAATCATTGACCTATTGCTAGGTATTTCCACAGGACCAGGAAATGATTGTTCCTATAAATCAATAGGGGGAAATAGGACTTGATTTGGTTCAGTTGTCAAAGGAACTTAAAGTATTAAATTGTCCATTTTATCATTGCATCCTCTGTATTTTGCTGCTTAGATGCACTTTTGTTGGCACCCGAGTCTCCCTGAAAGCAGGATGCAGGGCTTGAAGCTCTCAGATATTTGCCAAGTTTATGCATGTTGCTAGAGATTTGTACTTTGCAATGTTTGAAATGCCCTTGAGGCTGGAAGACTTTGGGTTGACAGCCAATATTACGGTGACTTAAGCCATAAATTGTTGGAGGGTAGAGAGAGTGTTTTCTGAGGAAATGTCACTGTTTGATTGATGATGTGGTTTTTTTTTTTCTTTTTTTTCCTAAGTGTCCACTATTGGCTACTATGGAAATTAGGACGTTGGGTTAGATGGACAATTTGGGCTGACCTAGTTTGGCAGTTCTGATGACAAGGTTCTTCCTAGCTTGCTTATTTCTCGTGAGCTCCCTGTGATAGTCATGGCATGTGGGGATTTTTTTTCATTAAAAAAACCAACAGTGTATAAGAGGTAGAGTCATGCAGGAAAAGGCCGTTTCTGCTGTGAATGTTTACTGTGAAAAAGATTGAATTTGGGCATGGAGACTCTTGGGGTTTTTAAGCTCAAGTGAGAAACCCACGAGGGAAATAATACTGCCGGTTAATCAACGCCCTTCCAAGTTCTCTCTGAGATGACTAGTTCCCTTGGGGAGCAATTTATTTGGAAGTAATGGCTGGTTTCAGGGGTTTTGTTGTAATCTGAGATGCAGATATATACTTTAAATGTACATGAGTAGCATCGGTGGTACTAACCTGCTCCATGAGGTCAAACCAACAGGAATTTCTGTGGGATTGGGATCATGGTTTAGGTTCATTCCTCGTAAAAACGGAGTGTCCTGGGACATGCCAGGCATGTCCCTGTGCTGAGAGAAATCGTTGGCAAGATGCTGAGGAGACAATACCTGTTCTCCATTGCCATCAGGCTCTTCACTGTTTCACTTGTCAGAGGGGCCCAAAATATGGAGTTGATGTGAAAAGCTTAGAAACGGGGAACAACGAAGCAGTTGAAACTGCAAACAAGGAGTGGGTGGGAAGCGGAGGGTGCGTTTCAGCAGCGCAGCTCTGCTGCTCCCATCTTTGTTGCCCAGATTATGTATTCACACGGTGTTGTCACATCACTTGCAGAGAGTATACTTAATGTGCAAGCAGCTTCCTACAATTACTGTAGGCTACATGTGTAAGAGGAGCATTTCTGGGATGAAATCCTATTAATTATGCGTTGAGGTATATGTCTCTGTTGAATTGGTTTATGAAAGCTCCCTCCCAGACTCCCCTCTTCCTATTGAGGCTATATTATTTTAACGTGGTGTGGGAAGGGCAAATACTTGAAGCTTCTGGTTTTCTGGGCTTTCTGGCTTGTTTGTACTTTGCAAAAGTTTTGAGAGTAAACGCATTAGACTTTAAAAAAAATAGAAACACCTCTGAGTTTGCTTTAAATTCCTGGTCACAGCTCATGTTTGCTAGTTCCACTCAGCAGTGCTTAAATAGTGGTATCTATTACTACTAGTTCAAGAAGACTGAAAAACGCTGCGTTTTGTTCAGCATCTTTTTTTAAACCAATTAAAAAGCTTTTCTAAAGTGGATTGAAGAGAAGAAAATAAACCATGTTCTCTTGGGTCTTTATTTCAATCAAGTTTCGCTGTGTTGTGCAGGAGAAGAGACTGGGGGGGGATAGAAAGACTGAAAAGGACTGTCGCAGCAGGGAGCCAAGCGGGAGAAAAGGACTTCTCTGAGAACTAAGCAGCAGCAGCTCCAAAAGCCGAAGCTGCTTCATCTACATGCAGAGTCACACAAGGCATGGAGACACTCACCAGCCCCACAGAGGTTTCACATGTGCTTCCCTGCTGGTTCCTGTGAAAAGCTAACAATTGGCTCAAAGGGTGAAAGACCATTGCAGCATCCCCGCGCTAAGCTGGATGTACAATTTGTGCAGTGTTATGAAATGTCTGGCTTAGCGAGATGCTCTCGACCACTCTTGTGGATACCCTTCCACTGCTCCCAGAGGCCCCCAGCCCCTTTCCCCTCCAGGACACTGGAGGCTTTTGCCGATTTATAAAAGTTGACGGGGGAAAAGGGGGAATAATCTCCTTGTGTGATATAATCCTAGATGCATTCCTGATTCCACGTCACTTGGTGTGAATTGGAAGCAGCTCCAATCAACAGTGATGTTACCTTTATACTTGTAAACCTGGGGAATTGTGTTTTCTCCCATTACGTGTGAAGAATTGTTGATACCCCAAAACACATGCATAAAAATATACAAGGGTTGAAAGTTGAGTGAACGTCTGGTGGGTGACCGAGAGAGGCACTTCAGGATCCACCAATACTTGCTTATAGCATAGTTCAAGTTCCCCTCAACTCCCCTTGCCTAGGGCTGGCTAGATTTGCTGAAACTCTGTAATTTGAGACTCCACTCACATGTTGAGACTCCATTTGCTTGTAGCAGAGTCTATGTAATTCCTTTACGTTCTAGTTTGTCTTTGGTAGTCAATGTAATAGTATGGTGCCCATTAGGAAGGGAATACTGTGTTAGAAGAATCAATCTCATAATTCTTGAAAATGTAGTCGTTTAAAACTACCTCCTCTATTGATTTTTGAGTCCCATAGTTCTCTGCATGATTATATCCTTTATTCAGATAAAATCCCTGTAGTAGAGAGGTGAAATCTGGGTTTATCCCACTTCTAGAAGGCAGCAGGGCAAGACACACACCTCTCTACTGTGTATCGTCCCATCAGTATGGAGGGATCTTGGGCTCCGAACTGGGGCACTTTTATTGCCTAAAAATGAGCAGGATGATTCCAGACTTAAGTGATGTGCCTGTATCTAATCTCTGTTGATTGGAAGAACTAGGCCTAGAACTGCCCTGGTGATGAGCTGACACCAAATGATCTTAAGCTGTTGAAAAGCCAGGTTTCTCCTTACTTGGTAGTTACTCTCTTGTTATGCCTGATTTTTGGAAGTTCAGCTTGAATCCTGATCTTCTATGGGCTGAACACATGGCACGTTGCCTTTGCAATGGCTGCTGTAGAAATTAAGGATCAAAAAAGTGAATATTTCTGAAAATGGGGGCATTTCAGCAGTTCCTCTCACAATAGCAAGAATAAATCCAGTGATATCCTGGGATGTGTGGTCACCAGAGGATATCACCAGAGTAGTTGGATGAGGGCAGCTTTTTCAGTTTGGCTTGATGGCTTTTCTTGCTTTTGTGGTAATGCCTGGGGCAAAACATTTCTGACTTGCAGGTTTTCCATTTGTTTGCTGAGCAAGTTGCCTGAAACTTTGAAAAGTACAAGGGACTCCTGACACTTCATTTTCTTTTAGTAATTGATACAGCAGAGATTATGCTTGTTTTACGCTAACTGGTTTTCCAGTGGGTCAAGTTTAAAGGTAGCAAGTTGAAGCGCATAGCTTCTTTTCAAGAAAGCAGGGAGAAAATCAGAATGTTTTGGGTGGAGCTGTTAAAAAATTTTAAGAACTGTTTTGCAGAGTAGCCATCTGTTCTGAGGAGTTTTCAACCACTCGGTCATCAGGGTCCTGAGCATGGATCCTAACAGAGATATCTAATAAAAAATTGCTGATGGATCTGACCTTTATTGACTTGTCCTGTTGCTTTTGAACCTTGTTAAGCTTTTGCCGTTCTTAGTGTTGTGCTTGCCTGAGTTCAACTGAACTGTATGGTGAAAGTAAACCTCCTTTTGCTCAGTTTAAAACTGATGCTTGATAATTTCATGTAGTGCTCCCTAGTTTTTATTTTGAGAAACAGCAGTTTTCTCCCTCATCTCCTCTACACTGTCTATGATTTTGTAGACCACTCTGTTTACACCTTACTAATTTATCAAGAGTCTATTTAGGGAAGTTATTCCATATTTCTGACCATCCCCATTGCTTTCCTCTGATTTCTCCAACTCGGTGATGTATTTGAAGTTGTATTTGAAATGGCTAGGATTGCATAGTGTCTTAAAGAGCACCCTGGATTCATACGGTAGAATAATGACTTTTGTTTTACTCTCTTCCCATTCTAAAAATGTCTGAGTGTCTGCATTTTGAGTAAGGTTTAGCATTGAGCTGGTGTTTTCACAGAACTTGCCACAATGACCGATTCCAGTGGCTTTCTGAAATGGTAATAAGTCATTTATAGTCATTTTTGTGTGTGTAGTAATTGTCCACTGGCCTGATTTACAGCAAGTTTGGGATTCATCTGACTAAATGTGGCTGTCAGCGGTTTGGTTTTCTATGACTGAACTAGTTGTTTAGAAAATAGTTTGCTGTATGAGTCCAGAGTGTAGGCAGCTTTTCTGGGAGGAGGTACATGTCATCTGGGCTCCATTAACTAAGAAGGAAATGCAGAGAATGAGACCATACGTGGACACCTGAAGTTGCAGGAGGTAAACTCACCTCGCTAATTACGTTTCCGAGCTGCTTACATCCTTTCTTGGTGAGACCTTTTAGTCTCTGATGAAACCCCAAACTAGACTCCATTTTTTATTGCAATCAAGCATGGGCTTCATTAGTGTAGAAATTGCTCAGGTAGCATCCTTCAAGCAGTGAGTCTGCAAGCTGTTATTCCCTTGATTGATGTCTCATCTGCTGTGCCAGGCACTGTACACATGCTGTTAGCTATATTTTGGGAACAGATACTGCCTTGCTGGCTGCAGTTGAGTGTTTTTTTCCCCCCTAGAATGCTCATAGTTCATGGGAAACTGTTATTAACACAGTCCCTTACCCAAGGTATTCTGGATTTTGAGAGTTACATACAGTAATAAACAATTTTTTAAAAGAATTGCTATAGCGTGTTAAGTGGATTGGTCTTGGTGGTGTAGCGTGGCATGGATTTGTGCTTGCAAGAGGGGGTTGGTGCATGTTTTGGAGGTCTCAGTTCTGTTCAAGAGTCTGTCTTTGGCTTCCTTTGTACCCTAATACCTTACCTATATAATGAGAAAACTGTTTGAAGGTGCCTAACAGCATGCATATGACTTGTTACAATTTTTTGAATCAGATAGCAGAAATTCTTCTTACAGGGCTTATACTTTTTACTGAGTTACAGCATACGTAATATCAGATACATCAGCATTATTTATGAATTGAACAAAAACTTACTGAGGACAGTGTGTTGAGGAAATACAGAGCAACCATGAAAGCAAAGTAAATCAGAATTGAGGTGAAATTTTTCTCCATCAGATCTGCTGATAATCCCTGTCTTTGCATTCGGAAGATTTTAAACATGCATCAGTTCTGTTGTCACATGTGCTGTTATCCCAAGTATATCTTTGCAAGTTGAAGGCACCTTTTAACCTTGTCCTTGAATACTTGTAACGTCAGAGCAAATGTCAGAGGTGTTTGTACCACACTTCTGTGGTTCACGAGCAGGTTATGGTTCAAGTGTTCTTGAGGGACTCATTTCACACAGCTTCCAAGCCTGTGTTTAAACTGTTTTATCAGCCCCTTCCAAAGATGAGGACCACTGAGATGTTGTCTGCATATAGGTAAAAAGCTTTTTGATTACTGAGCATCATTCATTCTTCTTGATCTATTAAGTGCTTTAGCTGAAAATGAGCACCTGATGCGGCTTTCTGAATTCCTCAATTTATGCTTCTTGTAGGAGTGAGGATCAAATGCCATTCACTTACTCTCCACTGAGTGCATTGTTTTTTCGTCTTCGCATGCAAGATCCTACTGAATTGCTCAGACTTGGCTTAAACTAGTAAAATGATAAAATATTTTCCTGGCCTTGCTACACAATGGCCATAAAAAGGGAAACAAATAACAAGCAGTTGTAAAGCCATGGACATGCAGAACATAGTGAAAGCAGCAGCCTACAGAACAGTTGTATTTATGCTTTCTGCGGATATTGTATGCCCTTCTCAAGGCTACTTACAGACATTTTTAGACACTCAGACCTTTTTCTGCTTGCTATGTGCCACCAGCAGGCGAGTTTTGTCTAGTAATAAAGCATTCCCTACTCCCACTGCAGTTTTAAACCTGGTATTTCTGTCGTCAGTTCAGGAATTGGCTGCTTTTCCCCATTAAATTGCCCAGTAGGTTTCTGAGGATTTCCCCCTCTAAAGAGGTGACTGAGTTGGTGAGCGTGGTGCCTCCTGCGATGTAAACAGTGATTAATACACAGAAGTGTTAGCACAGTGTTTCCCTGACAAAGCCTTTGTGTGAAGCTCGTGACCTGGGGCACGCTCCGGTTTCAACCTGCCAGGCGTTACTTCCTTGTGCTGTCTTAGGCTAAAAACAAACTTGAAGTGTGAGTACTTGAGTTCGTTACCCGTTCTGGTGCTTTCTCATTGTCCATCACCCAAAGCAGGAGTGTAATCTGTTCAAACACAAAAAGTCAGTGAATACAATGGCACTCGGGGAAAAAATAAACAAATGCTACGAAGATGTATCATCTTTATCGAAGATGTATTAAGTTTAAATAGGTTTTCATCCTTTGTCAAAGGAATGCAAAACACTTACGAAATTAATTCTGGCTGCTCTGTGGGGATAGATTTTAGGTTTTGGTTTGGTTTGTTTTTTTTATAATGATGAACAGAGTTTTGTGTCATGAAGTTGAAATATAGAACTTTACTCATCTCTGAGCGTCAGCTAAACTTCTGTACAGCAAATGAGGAGAATACTTGGCCAGGTCCTTGTGTGCTGGATTGGAAAAGGGACTGATCACAGCTGATAATTCCAACAGCCAACATTTATCAGTGAACGCTGCGTGGTAAATTCAAATAGCATTGAAATGGCATTTGCAAGATGAACGAACAAACGTTGATTTTTATTGGCAGTTGATGTTTTCCATTCATTGCTCTATTATTTATAAACCCTGTTATTGCTCAGGCCAACTTGGAATTGGTGTGTGCACTGTCGGTTTGAACTCAGAGGCTGCCAGACGTGGTACTGTCCTTTTATACAACCACACTGGCAATGGGAAGTCTTACAAACTTACGGCAACCTCTGCTTTTAAAGTGTGAGCTGTAAAACCATTGGAACAGTCTGTACGGTGGCAGAGAATTCACTGTACCCACAGGATTTCTAAAGACAGGCTGTGCCCCTGAGAATTCATCTGTAATTCAGCTTTTGGGAGTGGGGGTTTGCTCATGCTTTTAAATTTAACGAGGATTCAGCTATTTATGATGATTAATTTAGAAGGAAAGGTAAGGTAGGAAAGCTGTGAGTATGGGTGGGTCTTCTGCATACCATAATTTTTGGACCCTGTTGGTGGCATTAATCTGACTTCTAGAATCTGATCCTAGTCTTGTATGGTTGATGTTGACTACTTCAATTACTGAGAGATTTAATCCTATTAATTTTATTTTAAGTGGTATTTTTACGTGGCCATTTTTCATTTGTAGTTAGCTGAAGCTTCCCAAAGGTGGTTCCTCTTTAGTTTTTCCTCTCTTGACACTTACTCCATTGTGTGGACAGGGTCGCAAGCTTCTAATCATTGGAACCACCAGTCGCAAAGATGTCCTGCAGGAAATGGAAATGCTGAATGCTTTTAGCACTACGATTCACGTGCCCAACATTGCAACAGGGGAGCAGCTGATGGAGGCTTTGGAGGTGAGAAAAAGTTCAAGGATGACAAATAAGCTCAAAATTTGCTGGAAATGGGTGATTTTGCCGTAGCTCTGCTTTTGGTAACACTGTCCTACTGAGCATTATGTCATAACATAACAGTTCTAAGGCTTCTCTGAGTTATTTTTTCAAACAATAAATTAAGGCAAAATGAGAGAATGATAGGTCTAGGGAAAAAGTTTGTGGAGTGGATTGAAAGATTCCGAGGGCATGGAAGTGGGTAATGAATATAACTAGGACACTTAAACTGAATGCGCCTGGAGGGTGCCAAGCTCTCATGAATTGGAACAACATCAAATGAAGATACTTGGTGCTGAAGAGATTATAGGTTCTTTATAAATTCATGCCCTTAATGGCTTCTTATTCTATGCCATAGTGGAAATTGTAGTGAATATTGAAGGCTGTTAAAATAAACAAGGCGAATCTTTTGTGCAAACTTGCAAAATTGTCACAATGATAGTATCACCAAAGCCTGAAAGACACAGATGCTCTTGCAGCAGTTTTGAAAACTTACTGTGGCATGAGCCACTGTGTTCCTTCTAGACTCTAATCTGGAGAAAACCTAGAATGGATCATAAAAAAGAATCACTAACTGTTTGATTAGAGATGATACAAAAAGAACCATTATGGAATAAAAGAATTTAAGTGTTTTGTCTTGTCTAGATATATTGCAACAAATTTTTCTTCTAAGCTAGAAAATGCTTTCTAGCTTCTCATTCCCTTTTTCCCGAGTTAGGTAGCATTATTCCCACTGACAATCTCCTGTTGTTGATTTTTTTTTTTTTAAATTTTTTTTCCCCTCCAGCTCCTGGGCAACTTCAAAGACAAGGAACGCAGCACTATTGCACAGAATGTCAAAGGGAAGCCTGTCTGGATTGGTATCAAGAAGCTGCTGATGCTGATAGAAATGTCATTACAAGTAAGAATGTTTCTGGTCCAGGAAGGACTGGGGTAAATAGAGCAGTCTCAGAGGTTCCCACTTCTCTGCAGACTCTTTCTCTGGCTGTGTGGTGGGAACCTTTGAATCAGTTTAATTGAGAAAAGAGCTACAGCGGGAAGAAATTTTCTGAACAAAGAAATCACCAGGTCTTGGTCCGCAGAGACATCTTTAAAAACCACAGTGCCTATAGGCTGTTTAGAGCTGCACTTCAGAGAAGAGCATCTGGCAACTAGAGGGATTGGATTAACTTACCTTTCATGAAATTTCTTCCCTACA